AGATGTGTGTTCTGTTTAGCAGTACCCACAGAGTGCATTTGTTGACATGAAAAACACAGAACCATGCAATAAACTGGCACCAGGCTACAGGAACTAGGGTTCTTCCATGCTAAACCAAATTAGCCAAAACGTGTTTAGAGATTCATAATTTAATTTTCAACTCAGGTCAGTCATTGGGTCTTGGGTATCTAATCTAGACCTTGTTGCATTTTGAGATTTATACTTGTCAGAGACTTGGGAGTTTTAAGACAAATTCTTGATTTTTCAATAACAAAATAGTACACATTTAAGCAATTCCCACAATGGCACAGGTTAAAGCAGCCTGAGTACATCATTCTCCACATCTGAGTATTAAGAAACAAGCTGTTTGAAAGGTCAGTACTACCGAAATACAAAAAACTGAATAGTGTACTTAAGAAAATCTAAAAATATTGATGCCCATCACTGGGACATTTTAAAATATGTAGCTTGTTTCACTCTAGGCAGCCTGCGTCAATATTTGAAATTTAGCAGGTTAAAGAGGATCACTAATTACAGCCATTCTTTAAGATGCTGGAACATTGTCTGCAGCATTAGCAGAATGGTCCTGGATGTTTCGGTTGAAATGTGACTCGCTGTACAGTGTCCAGCCTAAGAAATGTCCTCCTGTTCTGAGCCTTGATGTGTTTACATGAACTCAGCAGGCTAATTCAGCAGTTTGAAATTACATAGGTTATTATAGGTCGAGCTGTGGCATCTTCCAGCTGTTGTGTGATGGGAACTTGAAATGTCCTGCGGTTCTCTGATTAGGCGCCTGGACTTTGATACATGGCCCTTGTGAGCAGACTGCTTTATGTTTTGCTTCCATGTAGGGAACTTGTACTAACACACTAGGAAAACAATAACCTTCATTGCTTAATCGTTTTTGTTTCTTTTTAAGGGAAATTCACATTTCATGTTTCACCTTTGCAATCATAAGCATTAAATAATTCCGATTTAATTTTCATAGTAAACATTTTTTTTAAATAGCTTTTCATTTGATTTGACTCTGATCGTTTCTCTTACTGTCAATACTGTGCAGAAATATTGAAGTTTTGAGCGAAACCCACTGTGTAAGCTACCAGAAGAAGAACAGAGTGAGGATAAAATCTTGAGTCTCGCGGCCTCGACCAGCTCTGTGTGTGGAGGAGAGTCATTAAAGGCTGCCAGACCTCCAGCATATTTTGCTAGGTCTGTTCCTTACAAGAATTTAGGCTTGTCCGTCATCACTGGGCTCTGCAGGGTTTCACACAGTGCTTAGGGATATTATGAGAATCTATTTTCTTAGTTCTTTTAAAAAGTGAGTGGAAGTGAACGTGGGCCTGTGTGATATACATCTAACTGATGGAGATGCTTGACGGTAATTTCATACCCAACCTCTGGGATGTTTAAAAACCGGTGAATTTGAGTTTGTTTTAGGTGGTGTAAGTTTACTGCTGGCACTGAACACGTCCCCTTTCTGTTCTTTATGATTAAGACACAGAAGAAACATTGTTCTTAAGATGTTGTTCAGACTAGGCCAATTTGGGTGAAGCTCCATACCCGTAAAAAGGCTGGAGCTGTATTTGGGTCGAGCGTGTTTCTCAGACGAGCTGACAGTCACGTGGTCAAAATGTTGTCAGTTTTTCTGCAGGTAGCATAAAAATGGCAGTTTTTTCTGTGCTCAATCCAGAGTCTAAATGACTGACTGATATGAGTATCTAATTAAACATGCCCTGTGCGAACAATAAGTCGGGCAAAACGAAACCCCGAAAGAGGGAGCGAAGAGAGATTTGGAGCATTGAAAGGCAAATGTCATCGTTGTTTATTTTCCCGTAATTCTAGTGATCAGGCCCTGAGAATGAGCAGAGCTAAGGCCACATGCAAAGCCATCGGCATCCCCTCTTCGGTTTCTGTTGTGACCTGAGCAGCCTTGATTTTGCTGTCTTGTGTCATACAGGTTGATTTAGGCTCTGGTCCCCATTAGTATGTGCGCTGTTTTAGGTACAACTTGCTTCTGGGGAAGATAGAAATTCACGACGGATGGAAATTCAAGATAGGCGGAGGCCTCAAAAATTGGCTGTTAATTTGTCTTGATGGGAAAAGTCACCACTGGAAAAGTTACAGAAGGGCAGCTGAATTGAAACCCACACAGCAAAATCCACGCAGCAGAGAACTGAAGGTCAGCCCTTTTGCTCGATGCCAGTGTAAACAGGATAATTCTGAGCTAGTAGCAGCTTGTGTCAGAACCTGGGCTGATGGGTGGGAATGGAAATCTGATAACATTCATCCGAGTAGAAGAAAAGTCGACCCTGCTCTCATAGCATGGTGTTTTGGTTGCTGGCTGCTGTGTATCTCTGGACTGGCCTCGTGCAGTTTGTGTAATACGTTTAGTGTCGACTGCTCTCGGCTGCTTTCTATCTTCAGACCATCTGCCATGACCCCTCAGTCTCTGCGCTGTTCCCATTACGATATTACAGTGGATCCTGTGTTTAGACCTGGGGCAAGAAAACCCCCCTCAGCCATGTCAGCTGATCTGTACATCTAAAGCCACAAGGGTGAAAATGAAATGGGAGCAAGTTCTCAAAGCACTAATGATTACAGCTATGACCAGCAATGGTTAGGCAACTACATACTTCGATTAACTGCATTTAATGACTTTAAGTCATCCAGCTGTGACACAAGGCTACTCTGTAGGGGATTTATTATGCAAAGTAACGAATGATTTTTAGGCAGTTAAATAAACAGCATTGTGCCCTGTATTCAATTTTAATTTCAATGTATTTTTATATAGCAGCTTTCAGAACAGTGTCACCCCAAGACACTTTACATGAGTGTGATGTGATACATTACTACATCATTTATGCAGAATAATACAAAAAACAGGGAAAAGGGAAGACAAAGAAAGAAAGAATGGATGAAAAAAGCATGATAACAACAGAGGAGAGGGACTAGAAACTCCCAAGTAGGGAGAAAAAAAACCTCTGGGGGTCTAAGGACACCTGGCTGCCCGACCCCCCTGGGTATGCTAACGTTTTGGAAAACAGAAAGTATCCTCCATGAATCACCACCTTATCTGTGGTTCTAGGCACTAGGTTGTCATGGGTACTTGCCCCTGGTAGGGTCTCCCAAGGCAAATTGGTCCTAGGTAACTAGCCAGAGTCCACCATCCTGAAGGCCCACCATCTAACCTACCACTTAACCTACCAGTAGGCTAAGTGGAATGTGGCTTTGGCAGTTGCTGAAGTGAAAACTCGAGTGTGGGAGGAGTTTAGTGAGGCCATGGAAAATGAGTTTTGGTTGGCCTCAAAAAGATTCTGGCAAACTGTCAGGAGACTCAGGAGAGGGAAGCAGGGTTTTACCCAAACTGTTTACAGCAGGGATGGAGATCTGTTGACCTCAAATGGGGATGTTGTCAGGTGGTGGAAGTTGTATTTCGAGGACCTCCTGAATCCCACTGATACACCTTCCTTGGAGGAAGCAGAGGTTAAAGACCAAGGCATTCCCAGGCCAGCTGAGAGATATCTCTGCAGCATATCCTGGGTCTTCCCCAGGGTCTTCTCCAGGTTAGACACAGCCGAAAGAGAGGCATGCTAGATAGAAGCCCACATTACCTCAACTGCTTCCTTTCGATGCAGAGATGCAGCAGCTCTACTTTGAGCCCCTCTCCGCTTGTGCCAGCCAACATATGTCTTTAACACAGAAAAAAGCAGGATAAAACCTTTTGGTTTCTGAGCTTCTAATACTGCCTCAAATTGGGCTCTGATTGTTGGCCTCAGCTATTTTTGCTTGTGTTGTCATGGGTTTGGCCAGAACGAGTCATGGTCATGGGGCTGGGCCTCTGAGATCCTAGCGACTTCACAGCGTGAGTCATTGAAGAGAGGAAGTGTCTCTCTGTGTGACCAGTCGCTGTGCATGCGTGCGTGCTGTGCGTGCTGTGCTGTGCAGTTCAGGAAGAACTGCTTTGGTGAATCCGCACAGAGCAGTAGATTTCAGCAGTTTCTCGATTCACATCTGTCTGAAGGAAACAGTGAGTCTGTGAAAGAAATGTTGAGCATAGATGATGTCACCATTTGAACTGGCCAGTGGTGACGATGTACTATCATCATAGCCCTACAATGGAAAGAATGGCCAGACCTTCTGAAAGTTCTCCCTATCTGCTTTGGAACAGCCAGCTGGCTACATGGTCACATGAAGCAAATCATAGAGAAGATTCCTTTCAGCGCTTTTTGTTGTAGTTGTCATACACCCTGAGCCCACAGAATATCATTTCAGGACACAGAATAGTGTGTTAAATGATCTGATGGGGCGTGTGAGGCTTTGGCTGGGAGGTAATATGGGTGTAACAGACCTGACTGAGCTCTGAAGCACAGCCATGCCTGTTCCGATTGCTCATCCTCTTACGGTCAGAGCCCCCTAACCATGCAGTGTCCCCGCATTATTATCCCTGTAGCTACATCCTGCTTGAGAGGCACTTTATTCTTCAGAACAGGGCTTCAGACATCTTCAGACAGCACAGTTACAGCTGGGAGGAATTTTGGGTGCTCTTAGATGTGTTTCCATGAGGCCTGAATGAGGAGAGGGCTGTGAACTTACAGTAGTCATGGTGATACTCCAGCTATCTCACTCTCCTTGAGCTATCCTCCATTGTGCAACCCTTTGGTCTGTCAACGTGATTGACTTTGAAAATGTGCTAAACAAATGAACTGATTAATTGATCGACTCCCTCCTCCTTCCTGTTCACCGGTCGTTCCGTCTCTGCTCGCTTCCTGTGCAGATCCTTTCTCACCCTTTGCGTTGGAGTACTTTGACTCGTACCCAGATTTCTCCCCTGTCTCTGTCTGCTGGCTTGGGACCCTGGCACCATTGCTTGGGCGCCTACTGGGAACTCGGCTATTTATTGCGTCAGCCTTGCCTTGTGTCAGCCCTTCTACAGATGGGACTGCTGTCCACGGTTGAGCTTCCATCTCTGTTCATCTTGTTTCTCTTTCTCTATCCCTCAGTCCTCAGGCACCAGCGTGATGGTGGACATCGCGGTGATGGGTGAGGCCCACGGGCTCATCACGGACCTCCTGGCGGACCCCTCGCTGCCGCCACACACCTGCAGCTCCCTGCGCGCCGTCAGCAACCTGCTGAGCACCCAGCTCACCTTCCAGCCCCTCCCCCGGCCCCGCCTCAACCCGCCCGTCCCTCCAAGTGATGCCTCTGCCTGCTCTGACTCAGAGGAGGGTTCTGAGAGGGGCGAGAAACTGGTCACCCCCAAGGTGCTCTCACTGCACGATGCGAATAGCCAGGCAGACCTACAGTAGCTCATGTGAATTTTATGATTCTCTCATGCCTGTGAATTTGGAATTGAATAGGATTAAGCACAGGGTTACCCAATATAAACATGAGCAGGATTAAGCACAGGGTTATCCAATATAAACATGAGCAGGATTATGCATCGGAAAGACAGATGTGAACGCAAACTGGATTGTGCATGCGGAGAACAAATATGAACAGAAACCAGATTACATACATTGGATTTAGAGATCTGAAGATGAACTAGGTTTAAATATGGTGTGGATTACAGATTTTGGTGTTTACAGATTTGAATATGACCTGGTTTATACATGGGGTTTACAAATTTAAAGGTGAATTGAATGAATGCATGGCACAGGATTATATAATGCATCTTGTACTTCCGGCTGTGAGCTGGAAAGGATGGATAAGTATTATTCATGATATGCATGTACCACACCGTTAGCCCGGGGTGGAGAGGGGGAGCTGTAATGTTTCTGTAGTATGTTGTGAGAGGGGTGTTGTGGGTGATGCTTAGGCAGAGGGAATTGTCATCTATCTCCTCCATTTGCTCCTGATGTTCAGTGTGTGGCCACTGATTCAACTGTAGTTAAAGTGCAATTAAATAAACCTATGCAGTGAATCTCTGGCAGTCACATGACCCACAGTCTGCTGTTACCATGACAGTGACTCTGACTGGTGTGTACTAGTGTTACTGGTGTTAACCAAGACTGTCTGTCCTGTTACACTTCAAACACTGCCACATTCTCAGTACTAGTTTGGCCTAGTTAAGTAAAAATGTGGATAAGCGTGTGGTCTTCATAACTTAATGGGAATCCTGTCTGCACATCATGACCTTTCACCTTTCGCCATTCTTAGGTTCAGCTGTTGTTGGATGCAAGCCGTGCGCTTTAACCAGGAATAATTCCATCTAAACACTACTGGGCAAAAAGGATTTGATGACTTTGCAAAAATGAATTATTCTTGTCTGTATCGCTGCTTGCCCAGGCAATAACCACTGGCTCCCCCTGCAGGAATGTGCAGTACACTTACTCACATGCTGTGCAATGTCCCAGGCAAAAGTGGGAGGATATTTTTCCTGTTTGAGAGGGGAAACAATCTATATTCGTTCCTTCTTCATTTTCTCAGTTGTGTCAACAACGAAAAAATATGCAGGAAAAAACTGTTAAAGCTTAGGAAAGATTCAAGTTTCAGAGATGCATAAAGGCTCCCTTTATGACACACATGAGTTTCTCTGTATCAGGGTTACAGTCGTTTTGGGCTTCTGATACAGTTCTGATATAACATGTATGACCCTTGTATATTGCCCTTCATTTTGATTGGCAGGTGAGGACTGTTTAGTTACTTAAATACAAGCCAGGAATGTTGTGATTTAGAGCGTTGCAGCTTTATAACTGGTGTAGTTTTAGGATTGCTGAGTGTAAAATACCTGCTATTAAATTCAGTGTATTTGTGTCAGATGGACATTGTAGCGCTGAGAGTTTGGTTAGCTAAAAATCCTGAGGGATGTGGGCGAACCAGTCGCCGCGTTGAGGTTTAATGTGCAGGACCACTGGAGGTACTGAGCTGAGTAACGCAGAGGAGGTCCCTGGGTCCCAGAAGGAGAGTGAGACTGAATTCCAGCCTGATAGTGTTGCTCAGATGGGCAGGTGGGAACACCCTCAGCTGCCATGGAGGGATGAATTCTGTACCTGAGATTTTCATTTGTTGAGGTTTAAATGTTGGAACCCGGGAAACCACACACTGGGCTTGGGGGAGCTGTGAGAGGTGGGGATTTGGGAGAACAGAGAGCAGGAAATGGCATCCAACCGCGAGGGAATCCTGAGCCACCCGGGGCCACGCGGACTTGAGCGAGGTATCCGGGCGTGGCGGGAAATCGTGTCATTAAGGTGTAACGAGGCTCACCTGTGCTGTCCGTGTCCGTGGCTACATTGAAATGAGGAGAGGGTCTGGCGCAGCACAGCATGCACCCGCCGGCAAGCTGACACCTTTGACAACAGGACACAAAGAACGTGAAGCGATTGATATGAGCATTTTTGAATGAGATAAACACTCCCAGCCCAGGTTAACCCGCAAGCCAGTGAATCTCTGCCATTTGTTTTCCCTCAACGCTGCCATCTGTCCCCCCCTTGGGGTCCCCCCTCCCCAGCCAGGGTAGGGGCAGAGTCGATGGTACATTCATTGCTAACGAAGCAGCAGACCATCTTGCTATGATTGGATTCCTGTCTGTTACTGATGCCCAATGAATGTGAGCCTTTTTTGGAGTGGGCGTATCTGTCAGGCTGCTGGGCTTCTGCTGATTGGTCACTGTGGCACTGACTGCTGTCCTTACGGTTGACTCATGAAGGTTCAAGGGGAATGTCTGAAGTTCACACTTTTGCTTTATTTATAGCTCATGCTGCCATGTACGCGTCCTGTGGGTTCTCTGGTATGAAGTGTGCATGCCTTTTTGAATTGCTTGTGAAGGTACTTGTGGTGTGTGGAGGTGTGATGCAAAGTGCCGTGTACAGGGTGAGTAATCGTGGCTCATCTGGTCCACTGCAGCGCCTAAGACGTAGCCTTCCCTGCGGGCTGCTGAGGAGAGTGTCGTCCACGTGGACCACCACCACCTCGGCCACAGGCCTGCCTACCATGGAACCGGGCCCTGTGCGACGAGACCGCAGTGCCAACACCAAGGCTGTCCATGAGGCCGCGCCCTGCAGGTAATGCCTGCCTCCCTTTGCTTTACCCGGTCCCAGGTAAGGCATCCAGTCCAACAAACCTGTCAGGCATTGCAGCTTTTTCTTGCTTTATGAAGGGCAGTGTCACTGGCTGCCAGAGCAACAGCCCTGTCAGCTTCCCACTCGGGCAGAAATGTCACTGGGAAGTTTGTTGGGTGTCTGAAGAGAATGCCTGTGTACTACATGGATTTTCGTGGGTCTTCCCATTGACTCAGTGACTGGCATCAGAGCTGTCACTGCAGTACAGCACACAGGCATCGATTCTGCTGAAAGGAGAGCCAGGTTTTTAATGTGTTATGGCCTGTCTATCCTGAGGACATATCTATTGCAGCCTGCAGTGCAATTTCATGGATGGAGTAAATATCCAGTGCAGCCTGCATTGAGAGTTCATGGCTGGAGAAAATATATGAAAGTAGATTGCAGGAAGCTGGGAATTTCGCTTCCCATTGTTTATAGCATCTTTGGGTGATGCATGTTCTGTTTGGCACACACACGGAACCTGGCCCATTATGGGAAAATTCTGCATCTTGCTGCACTGGCATGTGAAAGGGTAGGGATTTGTGTTTCACTGTGCTGGCTTTGAGCGCTAATCGCCACAGGGAACCAACCGCTGATGGGGATTTCTACCCATGTGACCAGCTGCCGGAGGAGCTCTCGTTTAAGGCCAGTGCCTGCGAACGCTAGTGGGATGAATCTGCTGATCGAGACTCGATTGTCTGGGCCTTTGCCAGCGAAAGCTGTCTCACTATCCACTGAGCAGAACATTCCCCTGAGCGCCAGTAAGGAAGATCCACAGTCCTTGGTCATGTGTTAGGATGCAGATCTACAGAGAATAGAGCAGTTTTAAAAGAGAGGTAGAGATGGTTTAGGATGTGGCCTTAACATAGCTTTGCAATTTCGAATCCCAACACAGGCCCTGCTGTAGGTCTCTTAAACACATCACTGAAGCTGCACTGCTCTACTGAACACGGATCAGAATTTTTACTTTGGACAAAACCTCAGCTTAGCAGTTTAATGTAAGTTTATTCCTATTGCAGTGGTTTTCAACCTGTGGGCCGCGGCCCCCTAGTGGGCCGCGACGGTATTGCAGGGGGGCCGCCAATTATTATTACTAGAAATTGTAATATTGTTTATATTAAAAAATGTCTAGTCAAAATCAAATAAATCATAATTTGATATATAATTAAATAAATT